CAAGATGGTGAAGTCCGTTAGTACTCGTAACCCTCATGTCCACGCGATTATCTGCGGTAGAACGATCGATGGTCGATGAGTCGAGGTGTCTAGCTCTCTGAGCGGACCTAATTGCTATCTCTTCGGTATTCGCATTTCGCTTGAAGTATTAAGAATTGAGCGAACTAGTGACTACAGCAATTATATATCCATTTGATAAATTTCACATTCAATCGCAACACAATTTCATATTCATTATCAACGTAATAACGATTCACCCAATTAAGCTTAGATTCAAAGACCGTAACCTTATTAACACTCGCTACGACACACCAGTGAGGAACGAGTGTTCAGATTCCGGGAGAATGTTGCACGTTTCGAGAGCCTATCTTAATAACAAAATCGCACCGTCACTCCCAGCGGGTGACTTGGTGAGGCTCGGTTTAGTGAGAAGGAAAAAATTTGGGCCAAGGAAGCGCTTAAAGAGGACTCGCATACCAGTCTGGGATAAGAGAGGGTCCCACGGGAAAAGAAAGGCCGGAGAAGAGGAGACGAGAGAGAGAGAGAGAGAGAAAGGAAGACCGCGACGCCGCCGCGCCACGACGGCCACTAAATATTGTGTTCGCGCAGAGAATACAGCTCTTGGGACACGTGTAAGCGGGGGACCGCGGGATTCCGTATGAGCAGATCGGCCCGCCGATTATACGCTAATTCAACGCAAATTCCTTCCCGGAGATATCTGTATCGCTCGCATACATCAGCGGGGACCGCGGTAGCTCCTGCCGTTGCTGCTGCTGCTGCTGTTGCTGCCGCCGCCGCCGCCGTTGCTCCTGCTCTCGCCGCCGTTGATTTTGTTGCTGCCGTGCTGCCGCTGTTGCTGTTGTTTCTCCTGTTCCTCCTCGGCCCCCTGAATCGCTTGCAGTCCTCCACGCTGGCTTAATCAGCATCCACGAGAAGACAACTATATAGCCGCAGCTTATACGTAGTTTCACGCACATGTGGCGTGCACACGTTGTTACGGAGACATTGAGTCCCACGAGGAGAACCAATGAAAGTTGGAAAGAAACTTTGTTGGCTACGAAGAGAACGTCCTGGATCAGAGTGATTCTGGGAGCT